TTCGTCTCCATCCACTGCACTTGCCCAATCGACCCCTGCTGCCCCCCCTGTCCCTTCTGTCCCTTCTCTCCCTTCCGTCCCTAATCTTCCTTCTGCTTCAGACTTCCGCCCACTGCTGCCTCTCCTTCCTGCTGCAGCCTCCTCTCCGTCCAATCCTTCATCCTCTTGCATGCCTCTCCCCTTCCCCGTCTCCCTACCTTCCCCCATCTTCATGCGCGTCCCCCTCCGCACCACCTGTCGCAGCACCCTCAGCATCACCTCATCATGCTCCACCCTCTCAAACGCAAGCACACCCACCTCTGTCTCGTTTCTACCTCCATCCGCCCCTCCTCTCTCATCCCCATCCCTTCCCCCGCCACCCTCACCCTTCTCATTTTCCCCGCCTAACTCCACCTCCTTCCTCTTGGCCTCTCGCCTCCGCCTCAACCCAACTCCCTCTCGCCTCCACGCCGCAGCTGCCTGCATCAACTCCTCCTTCTCAACCAGCCCAATGCACCTCCGCCCCTCCCCGCCCTGTGCACCTCTCCCGCCCTCATCCCACCCCCGCTTTACTCCTTCTGGCGCCACCATCCCCCGTTGCTGCTGCTTGTCTCGTGGCTGGAAGCAGAACCCAGCAGCGCCAGGGTAGGCACACGGGACGAGGGTCCATGGCACGTCAGCAAGAGACACGCGCAGCTCACCGCCCACTCTCTGCCGCTGCTGCTGCTGCTGCTGGAGCTGCTTCTGCTCATCTGCGGCGCTGCTGCTGCCCTTGGCAGTACCATGCTCGTCGTGGGAGTGGCGGTTGGTGGGAGGAACAAAGGATAGTGAGAGGGGGAAGGAACCGTAGGAGAGAGCCAAGGAGGCATTCAGCTCCTCCTCTCCTTCCTCCTCACCCACTCCCTCACCTCCCCTCTTCCCCTCTCCCTCTCCCTCCTCCCTTTCCTCCTCCCCTTCCCAGTCGCCCATCCCTTCTTCCACTGCAGCAGCCCCCCCCTGAGCCGGCAGCAGTAGCACAGGCGCCAGGGGGGAGGCATCGAAGACGAGGCGGAGGGGAGAGGAGAGGCACTCGTGCAGCACCCACTGCTGCCACACGCCTCGCACTGACGGTGCTGTGCCGTGACGGCCTGGTGTGTCGTAACCAGGTAACCCCTGGCGTGTAGAGTCGTTCCTCGGATCTTGAGAGCCAGCCTTTGGATCTACCATTTCCCTTTCCTGCCCCTCATGACGGTCGCCCTTGCCCTCTTGCCCTCTGTGTCCTTCCTTCTCCCTCCATCCCTGGCGCTCTCCCCCACTCCCTTCGCTCTCTGTGTGTGGCTGCAGCAGCTGTGCGTGGGGCTGCAGCATGCGAAAGGGCGGCATGGGGCCAGAGAGGAGGGGGGTACGGCCCACATTCCACGCCCACAGGATAGGGGGCGAGCAGGGGGTGTGAGAGAGCAAGGAGGACGACTGGAGATGACTTAAAGCCTCATCAATGCTCAGCTGACGTGTCACTCCTGTTACATTGGTTACCACCCATGCATACTCCTCCTCACTGTCATCCTTCTTCTCTGCACTATTCTCTCCCCTCCCCGCTGCCCTACCCGGCTCAACCCTCCTCCACTCAACCGAACCAGCTCCCGAGCCTCTTGCCGAGCCGCCTGCTTCAACGTTCCACGCGCCTGCCACCAGCAGCCAGTCTCCCTGGACGTCCCGTGTCTTTTCCAAAGCTACACTCAGGCTCGGCATAAGCACAGCCTCGGGATCCGTTAGGACGATCGCCAAGCCTGCACGGGAGGCTCGGGCGCGGGCAAAGAGGCTGTTGACTAAGGGTCGGCCTGAGGCGAAGCTAGGGAGGGCGCAGAGGGGAAGAGGGGGAGGGGATGGGGCGTGGGGAAGGGCATGTGAAAGGGGTTGAGGGAATGAGGAAGAGGGGGAGGAGAAAGGATGAGGGCGGATGGGGGTTAAAGACCAGGGGTTCAATTCAAGACACGGTTTGAAAAGCATGGCAATTCTCCCCATGCCTTCTCTCCCCTACCTCATATCCGCCTCCTCTTCCACCACGACCACTCGCCCCCACACAAGCCCCCACTGCACCACAAACGCCCATGCTTCACACCCCATGCCTTCTCCCCTACCTCATAACCACCTCCTCCTCCACCACGACCCGCCCAGGGTATCTCGTGGCGACGCGGTACAGGCTGGGAGGGATGGGACCCAATCAGCACCACACCCATGCGCCCCTCCACATGCGCCAATGCCCCCCACGCGTTCCCCCCTACCTCGTATCCACCTCCTCCTCCACCACCACGCGCCCAGGGTATCTCTCGGCGACTCGGTGCAGGCTGGGATGGGACCCCACCAGCACCACTCGCACGGCGGGCTGCAGACTCACCCACGACGCCACCGCCGCGCGCTGCCGTCTCCCCCGCCGCCCCGCAAAGCGCCGCGGCGCCACAAACAGCTCCGCGAAAACCCTGGGAGTGGTAACCCGTTCGCTATTGGGGTCTCGGCGAAACGGTTGATCCTGGTGGTCGGCCATTCGTGTGCTGGTGAACGGGGGGGTGTCTGATTGGTTGCGACGATTCCAAGGATCGCACGGCGACTGACCGCGTCGCACAGGCGAGTCAACGCGGTCAACCAAGTCGTCTGAGTCAGCTACACTCCAGCCTTCGTCTTCGCCCCGCACGTAGCATTGTGCCTTCTCGAGCTGCCACGTGGCGCTCAGCGACAGGAGCGTCAATCCGAGGGCCAGGATCCAGAGCAGCGGCAAACACGGAAGCAGAGGAACATCGGAGGAGAAGGATTTGAAGCATGCGGTCCGACGAAGAGTGGCTTCTGGGTTGGATGGCTGACGTGGAAGGACCTCCGGGTTCGACGGTTGACGTGGAGGGAAGGAGAGCAAAGAGGTGCCGCTGGAGGAAGTATTCAAGACGGAGGTTAAGGAGAATGTATTCCCCGATAAACTCTTAACGGAGGAGTCGTTAGCGAGTGGTTCACTCAGAGTGATGCTGAGGGCTGGTGAGTCGTAAGGCGGGGTGATAGATTGAGAGGAAGCGCTCCGCCGGGATAACGATCGGTGAATGTCCCCTTTTGGGTGCATGTTGAGTCGTCTTCAGGCTACTCTAAGAGGCTCATAACTACCTCAGGAGAAACATGGTGAGCGACGGACGTCAGTGATCAGTCAAATGGATTGAACGTTGGGAGTTGGACGGCAATACCAAGGGCAGGTCCCGAAAAATCACTTCACGTCACGACTCCGAGTCCGAACAGACTGCAATTACCGGGGTTGCTTGCAACGGAGCCGAATTACACGTCTTCTTTTGATCATACGACACGTACTGGAGTTCAATATATGTTTTAGTACATCTGCTTCATGCAGCCGGGAAGCAGGATGAAAAATTACATAGATACCTTCTAGCGTTTTCCCACACATTGGCATGAATATAAAAAAAAAAACATATTTGAAAATACTGAAACAGCGGAATTTCTTCAGATTGGTCTGTGTATGTCAATGGGGATTTGGAATTTTAGAGTAGATATTAGTGATGTTGAGGTTAGGTCGATGTGAAGTGATGTAGAAGGTTTCGCTATGCGATGCATTTCAATGTTGCCTGACCACATGAGGTCCAAGCGAAGATTTCGTGCGAAAGTGCTCGAACGAGGGTGTTCAGCCTGTAACCTGCACAAGCCCCGAGGTTCGGAGCCACGATCACTCACAAACCAAACAGGTGGCGCGCAGACGTACTTTCCGCGGGTGACTTACGCCACGTCAACAGATAAGAGCCGCATCACCCTCCACAACAATTTCTCGCGCACTTTCTGCCGTCAGATCGTAGTGCCACATTGTCCACGACCGTCCGTTCGTACTTCATTGGTGCAGCCCTCCCTGACCCGTATCCACTCAACGGGAACCCCAGAAATCTACGGGTCCAGGCTAGGGTGTTTTCTCGGAGGTGGGGTTTCAGTCACTTTGTCTCCCAGCAGCTTTTGGTAGGCCTCCATCACTCAAGCAACCAAAAAACATCCATCAACCATGGCTGCCTCCCTCGCCACCAAGGCTGCTGCCGTTCCCCAGGTATCCACTCTAGTCTCGGTAGAGCATTGTTGCAAAAGCTGAGTTCGTGGGAGGTTTCGCCGTAAATGTTGTAGTCCTAACAGATTCCTTATGTCGTCTATTTGCAGCTCGCAGCCGCTAAGGCCTCCGTCTTCGGCGATGCCAAGTCGCTGAAGACTGTCCGGGCGGTCGCCGTCAACAGGAAGGCGTCCGCCACCGTTGCCATGGCCGGTGCTCCCTCTTTTGTGCCTGACATGGGTCGCCGCAACCTCATGAACCTTCTCCTTGCTGGTGCCGTCGCGGTTCCCGGCACTGCCGTCCTCGGTGGCTGGCTCTACGTGCTTGTCCCCCCCGGGTAATGTATTTTCTCGTGCTGCTTATGCTGCTTATTCAGCTGTTCTGTGCGGTTTCTGACATGCTCCTCTTCACGCGACAGCTCCGGTGGCTCGGGTGGTGGACTCGTGGCGCGTGATGCTTTTGGCCAAGAGATCACTGCTGAGGGCTGGTTGAAGGCCCACGGCCCTGGTGACAGGACCCTTGCCGAGGGTCTCAAGGTGCGGCTTACTAGATGGTAGATCACGGTGGATTCTTCTAATTTAATTGTCACGTCATTTAAAAATCTGTTCGCGATGTGTTCCAGGGTGACCCGACATACCTTGTGGTTGAGAACGACGGCCAGCTTGCGCCCTATGGTGTGAACGCCGTGTGCACTCATCTCGGATGCGTCGTGCCCTTCAACACTGCCGAGAACAAGTTCATGTGCCCCTGCCACGGTTCTCAGTATGACAACCAGGGCAAGGTTGTTCGCGGCCCTGCTCCTCTGGTAAGTAGTGCCAGTCCTGCCATTACCTTCTAACGGTCTGTTGTGGAACTAGTCCATGCATTCTTTGTTGGATCATCGTTCTGACTCCCTTTTGTGTTTCTTTTTTCAGTCGCTTGCTCTTGCACACGTCGACATTGTGGACGGCAAGGTGTTTTTCAGCTCGTGGCCCGAGACCGACTTCAGGACAGGCGAAGCCCCCTGGTGGGCATAAGCTTCATTGATATGTACTGGATTATATATTACGATTGTTATTCAACATTTGTCGATGAATTAATTCGAGTAGTCTAAACCTGCACTTATCAGTATTGATGGGATGGCATGCGTTATGTTTCGTGGTTCGTTTGTGTCGGATTAGTAAGCCGCGTCCTTGCGGTTTACTTGACCACCGCTTTGGAATATTCCACACCAGAACAAGGAATTCTGCCGTACACAAATAGCATGGGGCACCAATTGTGAAGGACGGTCTGGCATCAAGTGATTATTATATGTTACGCAATAATCATACAAAAACCCATCTACAAAGAGATTTTGCTCACGTTGGCGAACAATTAATAACCATTTTGCAATGTTAACTTTGTTCATTGCATGATGATACATCAGTCAAAACATTATAAAATTATGTCACCCATACAAATAGCTCTAGGGGCTGTAATCCTATATACAGCTACTCGCGCCTCAAAAACGAAGACGATAACGTCTTTCCTTGGGCAAAAATGGCATGTACAACTCTCCAGACGCTCAAAGGATTGAAGCTGACGGCTGCAGGAGCTCCCACGACAACATGATTGCACTCTGCACCCAACCTCCTCCTCTCCAAGCGTCCCACGAACCTATAGTATACCAGATGCGCTGGGGCATCCGCTGTCAAAAACGAGAGGCGAGAAGAATCCCTCGACCCTGCGGACAGGTGCGACGGCTGCAAAAACCCGACAGGAAACTGGGAAAATGTTCGCCGATGGCGAGTTCGACTGTAGGAAGCTGATATCTTTGATAAGCGGATTACTAGATCTACAAGGTGGAGTGAACGCCAAAGAGCTCAAGCTTCCACCGCCATCGCTCTGCACACAAAAAAAATAGTACCGTGAGATGACAGATTCATAAAATAACACGATGACACCCGTACTACTAGAATAATCAAAGGCAGAATAACATTTAAACAGATTTACTTTTGATCCTGTTAAGCAGTCTAAGCAGAGAGTCAACCTAATACAGGTCTGTTGGGTTCCAAACACACAGCAGGAAGATTGATGACAGACGAGGGTTTCAAGATGAAGGCGAAGGGGTGAGAGACCCAACTTCAAATACCTGACAAGGCCCACCAAACCAAACGCCTACCAGATCAACCTCCGAAGCGAACCGTGAACAGTTCGAGGTCTTTGCTGATCTGGCTGTGCTGGCTTAGGTACGGCAGCAACTTACTCATCCGAACCAGAAGCCACGAAAAGTGCTGGATACGTGTGAAGATAGAATCCTTCACCCACTTTGCTACACTTCAATATCGAACTGTAACCCGGTCGTAATCTCCTTTATGCATTGAATTTATCAAACATAAAATCCAACATCACTGTGCTAAAAGTGCTCGACGACATACCATCAGATATTTGATGGGAAATCGGGCAGTTTCGTTAAAAAAACAGGTAATTTCTTCGGTGCCAGAACAGGCTGGTTAGGATGAGGTGCGGGACTGCTCCCCCAATCTTTCCACGCCGCTTCACTTCTCCACCGAGCCTCACTCGTGCTGATGCGTAAATCTAGTGGCGGGAAGGCTTGGGGAATGTCGAGGCTTGGCCACGGTGATTCACATCGTTTGTCTGGTCCGGGTCACGATGTCACTTACTCAACGGGCATTGATGTTGCGGGTCCCCTGCCCTCCCCGCTCCGTGATCTTTGATTTTGCTGCCCAACGAACCACCAACGTTGAACAGTGTTTGCGCTGTTTGGGTCATATGGAAAACTTGTCGCATTGCCGCGTTGTATCGAACACTGGAGGATAATTTCTTTCAAAGCTCACTCGCCATTCCTATCGTGTAACGAGGGCAATTGAAGCAGCTCGCATACGGTAACATAAATCACCCAAACAAAGCAAATACCCCCAAGACATCATTCAGCAAATCATCCATGAGAAACTGCACTAGACCTTCTAGGTTGCACTCATCAGCCATCAGCTCTCCACTCCATCACCTTCCACGTTGTTACGAGTGCAATTGAGCGAGCGAGCGAGAATTGCACTATCGAAGCAAACAATACATCGAGCGAAGGCATGAGCGAATAATATATAGCGAAGCTAGAGTGGTAACGGTAATGTGGTGAAATTGGGGTGCGCTACGGGCCTAGCGCCGAGGCTGGGAATTGTCGAGGCGGAGGTCCGGAGCGCGGGTTACCAACCGAACCGTGAGGTTGGGTCGCGTCGTGAACAGTGGCGGGAACATCGGTCGAAGCGAGAGTCGCGAGTGGTAACGGTGCACTGTTGAGAGTTGTTGGCGGGAACAGTGGTGTACGCGCTGAGCAGGGACGCGAAGTAAGGAAAATGATTTTTCCTTACACTACCCCCCCCTTAAGGAGGCCTTCCTTACGAAAGCGAATGTACATCTTGAAAATTTCGGCTGCGCAGATACTAGGTGAGGGCAGGGTGGTTCTCGATTTTATCCAGGGGAAACCAGTT